ACATAATTTGGTGAATTCTGTTTTCCGTTACCTCCTCTTTCCCTTCCCTCCACCCTGGTCCCCTGTCCCCATCCTCTCCTGGTCTCCCTTCTTTAAAAAAACACTCTTGCTGAGAAGTCAGCAGCCAGCTACTTACCGGCCTCACAACTAGAAAGGGTGCTTGAGCAACGGGTGCTGTTCATTTAGAAACCAGGGCAGAACGTCAACTTGGTGGTTTCAGTAAGAGTTCTTCATTTAGGTCCCATCTGTCTCTACCCTGGAAATTCTACAACAGCTGAGTCCAGCTCTCTATGAAATGCTAGTGACCACTTCCACCTGGTACCGGGCAGGCGTCTTCTTGCCAATGCTGCCCTGTGAGCCCTCCGGCTGGTCACTGCTGCCCTCCCTGCACCAGCCACTGAACTAGCTCTTGAGGATGTGCCCAGAATCATCTCAGGTCCTGCCTTAAAGACATCTCCTGGAAATAGATGGAGGGGTGAATCTGATGCAGAAGTACCCCTTACCAGCGGGAGAGATCTCAGCACTGCAGGGGATGCGAGGAACCGCGTGGACAGTACTGACCCCTGCTACACTGGAGTTTCCTAGAATATATACTGATCGTGAAGCTTCATTGACCACTTAGACACACTGCAAGCTTAACAAAGGCAACTAACAGCACAATAGGAGGATCGCCACAATGTACTACAATAAAAACGATGTGAGTGTGGTCTCTCTGTCTTTCTCTCCCTCACATTTCTGAAAATTTCCATGTGGTATTTTTGGACCTTGGTTAACCATGGATAACAGAAACCATAGAAAGCAAAACCTCAGGGAAGGGGGAACTAGTGCATTCTGAGAGAGTTATCAGACTGGCAAAACCCAAAGGCTGTTACCATTGCAAGTACTATTCTAGGAAAGTGCAAAATGGCCAAGGTCCTTTGAGGAGGAGTTTAAAATGTATCAGAATTTAAAATATGCCCAAGTTGTCCTTGAACTTTCAGAAATCTTTCCTATACACAGATGGTTTTCCACACAAAAAAATGGTAATTGTGTAAGGTAACACCTTGGTTAACTCAATAGCATTATACAACGTACACATATCTCAAAACTTCATCTTGTGCCAGGCGGGGTGGCCCATGCCTGTAATCCCAGAAGCTTGGGAAGCTGAGGCAGGAGGTTCACAAGTTCAAAGCCAGCCTTGGCACCTTAGTGAGGCCTTAAGCACTTTATTGAGACCGTCTCAAAATAAAAACTAAATACGGCTGGGGATGAGACTCAGTGGTTAAGCACCCCTGGATTCAATCCCTGATATTTAAAAAAAAAAAGAAAAAGAAAGAAAGAAAGATGGGCCCAAGATCAGAAATCTTTTCTAAGTCTAATCTAGAATCAGACGTCAAGAAAATAAATTAAAATCCCAATACTGGATGACCTGACATCCACTAGGATGTCTAGGATTAAGATGACTGACCATATCTAGTGTCACCAAGGATGTGGTGGTGCTGGGAGCAGCAGGAATTCGAGGTGAGGGGATGAGCCCAGAGTGGCCCAGTGCCGATCTGCACGTGCTTTCTTGGAAAGGGCAAATTCCCTGCAGCCTGGCTTAAGGCTGCATTCCTCACCCAAGTACCCCTAAGTGCAGGGGGTAGGTAGGGAAATGCAGGCCCAGGCTCCTCCCAAATGAGCAGCACAAAAGGTACCCTGCAGGGGGCCCCTCTGTGACCTTTATTCAGAGCCAAGCCCTCCACCACAACACCTGTAAGAAGGAGTTCTAGGCCCAGCTTAGGCAGAGTCCTGGATTTCTGCGTGTAATAGGAAAGCCTCCCCTCCTTGGGTAAGACCTTGTGCAATGGGGTCTCGCTGTGGGGTCTCGGAAGTCTGCGGCAATCCTGCTGTCAGTCAAAGCCAAGGAGTGGACCTGAGTGGGACTCCTGGGAAACGTCCCTGGGACCCCCAATAAAACTGGAGGGCAAGCTGGACGTGGTGGTGGTGCACGAGGTCTGCAGCCTTGCCTTCCCCCTCCCTTTCAAGGGGGCTGTGGCCGGGGACTTTCCACCTGGCGGAGGAGACCCGAAATGGCCAATCAGCAGCTGACATGGCACGGACCCCAACCACCACAGTTCACCACAGTTCGCCCTGTCAACTTGCATCAGCCCTGACCAACCTGCCGACAGACACGATGACCCTAAACTCAGCTGCAATGTAGATGGCCTGGGCTCCTCATCCCAGTTTCCTTATTAGGACTGCTCCTGCCTTTCCCACCCCGAGGCCCTCACCCTTTCAGGGGCCAGTGAACCTCGCCCAGAACGCCCCCAATAAACCTTCTTGGTGCCTCATTCTTGTTCCCTGGTTTCTGCTTTACAGGGCACACCTGTAATCCCAGCAGCTTGGAGGCTGAGGCAGGAGGATCCAGAGTTCAAAGCCAGACTCAGCAACTCAGCAAGGTACTGAGCAGCTTAGTGAGACACTGTCTCAAAATAAAAAAATCGGGCTGGGGATGTGGCTCAGTGGTGGAGTGCCCGTGAGTTCAATCCCCAGAACCAAAAGTCAATAAAACTGGAGGGCAGAGGGCAGGTCATCCCTCTCCTCCCTGGGGGACCCACTCTCTCCCTCAAGAGTGTCCCCTTTTCCTTTGTTCCTATCCCTTGAATAAACTCATGCCACCTACTATGTGCAACACATTTGATCTTTACAGGGACCACAAGAACTGGTGGGAAGGGACCAGCCGGGTGGCTTTGGCCCTGTGACAGCGGGGGCAACCGGATCTCACCCTCTGTGTCGGGGAATGGAACATGGTATGGTCGCTTGGGAAACCAGTTTGGTGGTTTCTTCAGATGTTCAACATGCACCCACCGTGTGACCCTGCCACTCTGTTCCTAGGTGTTTGCTAAGAACAAGTAAAAAACACAAGTCACCGAAAGACTTACAAATGAATGTGCTTGGCTCGAGTATCCATCACAGCCCACAGCCACCATCAGCCCGAGCTGCTCTCAACCAATGGATAAACCAGTCCACGCCTGATACAGTGGATGACTACCGCGAAATAACCCTCACGGCGCCTCAGCAAGGAACGGGGTCACAGACAACACGGTGCCACAGCAAGGAACGTGGTCACAGACACCGTGCCATCCAGAGGAGCCTGCGTGAAGTTCAAGAGGAGGCAAAACCAGCCCAAGATAACAGACAAGGGGCAGTGCTGCCTGTGACTGCCCAGCAGGGACCGCGAGGACGTTCGGAGGGGACAGTGACACTGAGCTGCTGGTCACCCGGTATCTGCGCTCGCCGTGTGGAATGCGTACACTGCGTCATATGTCAACTTTATCTAGATGGACAAAGTGTCTCTTAGGGGACTGCAGAGCCGTCACCCTACAGAGGGCAGAGAGCCTGATGTTAGGTAGATTTTGAGCACAGAATTTGCTTAGTTATCAACCACCTGGAGAAACTCAAACTCAGATGAAGGGAGAAAAACCCCTCAGCCCCTCCTGCAGTCAGGGTTGGAAAAGCACCGCAGGGGCCGTCCCCAGGGCTGGCATTCTCCTGCTGACCACCCACGGCCTAAGGAGCCGGAGCCGCTGAGCCCTGCTGCAGGCCTGGCCCTGCCTCAGGCCCTGGGTACACAGGTGAACTCCTGGAGAGGACCCATAAGGAGACCTAGGACTTGGACAGCTGCAATGGAAGAATCTGAGAGGAGGAGTCAGTGGAGGGTGGGGATGGGTAATCAGGGAGGGAGTCTCCAGTTGTGGATGGAAGGAAGGGCAGAGGGGAGGACACTTGAGGCAGAAAGGAGAGAGTGCAAAGGTCCTGGGGCAGAAAGGAACATGACAGGGTGGAGGAGAGAGGGAGGAGCCGGGTGCAGGAGCAAGGCAGGAGGGGCTCTGGGCGACAGTCAAGACAACTAAAGCCACAGCAGGGTTTTCAGCAAATGGCTGACCAACATGGTCTACTGCTAAGGAGAGAGGACAGGAGTGGGGACAGGCCAGTGCGGGAGAGCTGGCGGTGACAGGGATCACAGGATCAGCAGTAGGGCTGGAGAAAGGGCCGAGTCAGCTGTACTGTGCAGGCAGAACTCAGAACTGCTGATGGCACTCAACGTGACAAAAGAGGAAAGGGAAGAAAGCATGGGCGGTGGGTGACATTATTTACCCAGAAGGGGAATTCGGGGCGGAACAAGTCTGGGGTGATGGAGGGTTGCATTTTAAGATGTCCACATATTCAGCAAGCAGAAATGCCAGGGGGTAGGGCTGGAGACTCAAGTTCAAGGCCACTGTGGGAGAAGCAGCAGAGCCAGGATGGGGGGAGGGTGCTGACATCCAGAACTGACCCCCACCCCCAACCCCCGCCCAGAAGGAGGCTCAATACAGAGGAGGAGGGTGTCCCCAATGCCCAGCACATCCTCAGGCACAGCAGGGAGGGGACTTCCAGATGCTGCTGAAAGGGGCAGTCAGGGGCACAGGGACCAACTCTGTGAACAGCCTTGTCCCCAGGGTAGGGAACAAAGCGGGGGCACTCTTGTTTGCGTGGAAATCCAGCCTATGGAGGAGTGGCAGGCAGGTCAGCCACAGTCCCTCAGCAACTCAGACTCCTGCCCCTGCAGTGCCCAGTGGCCACTTTCTTGCTGTTGATCTCAGTGAGGTCCTCACCTTGGTGGCTTCGCAGGTGCAGCTCCTGCAGGGGCAGCAGGACCAGGGCTGCCGTCTCCCACGGGGTGGTGAGCAGGGCTCGGGCTGGTTCGGCCATGCTCAAAGTCACCTGCTTGGCCACCTGACCACCGGAGCAGTGTGCTTGCCCACTCCCAAGCCCAGCCCCTGATACCCTCCCACAGTGGTCCCTACCTGCCTGCCCATCCGCCTGGCCCCCTAACCTCGGCGGCCATACCCGCGCCTCTCACCCTTCTGTCCTGCTGGTGGATGGTGAGCCACCAGGTCACCAAGCTTTTGATCTCTTCTGCCCGAGATCAAATAAATACATAAATTAAAGAAAAGTGATAATAATGAATGAGTACCTGAGCACCCGCTTGGGCTTACCAGGCACGGTGAGAACGGAGGGGGATTTTTCGGGCTGTTCATTAAGGCGGCTGCTGTTTTGCACCCAGAAAATGTTGACGGGCTCAGGGGGGCCCACGGCCTGACAGGTGAGGTTGAAGGCGGTGTTCCTGGTGACGTTCATGCTCTCGGGCTGCTTGGTGAAGTGAGGAAGTCCTGCAGAGAGAGTTCAGGCCACAGCGTGTTTCCCACCCAGATCAGGAGCAGAGCCCGTGGGGGGTCCCAACTGACCAGCACTTGGGACAGGAGACTTGTATCCCACTTTGAGGTTGAAATGGACTCCCTAAATTTGGATAAAACAGCCCAGAGGGTCATTCTTGCCAGTCCGTCTCTAGCTGGCTTTCTAGGACAGTTCCCAAAGGTGACTCAGAACTGGTTTGACCAGCAGGGGACAGTTCTTAAGTGTTGTTCTGAAGCCTGGACCAGGGGGCAGGTTTCTCACCAGAACAAACAGAGAAGCTACGTAATACAGCGGCCGAGTGTGGAGGCCAGTCTCCCGTGTGTGAAAACGGATTTTGAAATCCAGACCGGACGGCGGTTGGCACGCTCAGACCCTGGGCTGGCGCTTCAGCACACGCACCCCGCAAAATTCAGACAGTCGTGTGGGGCAGCGCACTTTCCAAAGCACGTTCTCAGGTAAACAGGACAGACACAGCTCCGTGGTTGTTGTGATCCTGAGATGTCCTACCGTGACTCCAGACTCAGGGCTACAGGGAAGCTTGGAAAATATCTCTGAGAAGGCGGTGAGTACCATCTGGGGGGCATGGGTCTAAAATGTTGGCAGATCAAACCCACTGTCCCCAGGCATTCAAATTGTGTTCTTTGGGAGCTGGAATCTCCCAGATCTGAGGTGGGACATTTGTGAAATAGGATTCCTTTTCCTGTTTCAAGATTTTCCAAAACTTAATGTGTTTCTTTCCTGGGTTCCCTCCCCCCCTGGAATTCTAATAAGTAAAAATGTCCTCTACATTTTTCCCCCAGATTAGCAGCAAATCTAGGAGACCCCCTCCCCCCACTAACAGCCAGACCAGAGCAGCGGTCCAAAGGGACTTCCCAGAAGAGCCCCCTCCTGGTCTCCACCTCTCTCACCCTCTGCCCATTCCTCTCTCCTGCCTCCCTCCCGCGGCACCAGTGGGTATCAAGTTCAGGTTCACAAAAGAATGGGTAGCGCAGGAGCCTTTGAGACTTTAGATGGAAACGCTTGTGGCTGAAAAGCTTGTTCTACAGCCTGCGATGGGGAGGCTCAGGAAAAAGTAGAAAAGACAGAGGGGACCTGATGGCTCTGCTGGCCGGGCACTTTCGAGGGCAGGGATGCAGATGCCTGGGAGGGGAGCACCCAGGGGAGGAGCAGACCCAGACACGCCAACCCCACCTGCAGGACCGCAGGCCCAGGGTCACCTGTGCTCACCTTTCCCACCTGGTCAGGTTCCTCAAAGGCAGACACCTTATCTGCTGTCTGACAACCCATGTGATGTTGTGAAATAGGGCATGGAATTTCTTCAAGCTATGTGCCCAGAGAAACTTGTGGGGGCCTGAAGCCCCAAGAATAGTCCAGACTCAGCTGCTAACCCAGTCCAGTAAACCAGCCACCCTCCCGTGTTGGACCAAAACACAAGCAAGACAGGAAAGAATGCCCAGTAGCACGCAAAGGGCCACTTGCCCAGGGGGGCAGTACCTGTGCCAGCTCCAAGAACTGGATAGCAACGAAAAAGTCCTTAGCATTTTTTTTTTTTTTGGTACCAGGGATTGAACCCAAGGGTGTTTAACAGAGTCTCACTGAGTTGCTTAAGGCCTCACTACGTTGCTGAAGCTGGCTTTGAACTCTCAATGCTCCTGCCTCGCCTCCAGAGCCGCTGGGATTAGAGGTGTGCCCCGCTACGCCTGGACAACCTCAGGTTTTTTAAAATGTAAACAACTGTGGACAAGGAGGTCCACAGTCCCTTTTGATTTCTCCTCTGGTGCTAGTATAAAGCTCAGGCTTTTAATGACTGAATTAATTTCAACTATGATTTAAAGTCCAAAAAGAGGATCTTGTGAAATTTCGTTGCTGATGGATTTGCAAAGTTTACAGAGTCAAAAAGGGGATAGGCCAGGGGCTGGGGCTGTGGCTCAGCGGTAGAGCACTTGCCTTATAGATGTGAGGCCCTGGGTTTGATCCTCAGCATCACATAAAAATAAGTAAATAAAGATATTTGTGCCCTCTACAAATAAAAAAAAAGGGGGGGGCAGGGGAGATAGGCCAAACGCCAGAACACTGCACACAAAATGTTTATTACAAGCCCTAAAACAAACAGCTCTTGGGCAATGGGACACCCAGCCTCTGGCCTTACCTTGTACCTCGATGTAGATGGGGTCGGACACAATCTCATCGTTGTTTATCTTCATCTTACAGACATACGACCCATTGTCTGAACGCTGAACACTGATTATACTGCAAAGAAAATACATCAAGATATTTACAGGATTATTTTGAGCCCCTATCACAGGAACATGCAGTTCCTCACCTTCTTTGCTGCGTGCTGTGATGGTTGACTTGATGCGTCAGCTTGGCTGGGCGGTGGTACCCAGCTGTCTGGTTCACACCTCCAAAGGCTGCTATAAGGTATTTCTCAGATGTCATGAACATTTGAATTGGCAGCCTCTGAGTAAAGGAGAGGCTGAGGCAGGAGGATTGCAAGTTCAAGGCCAGCCTCAGCAATTTAGCGAGGCCCTAAGCAACTTAGTGAGAAATTAAAAATTAAGAAATCTTGGGGATGTGGCTCAGTGGCTAAGCGCCCCTGGGTTCAATCCACAGTGCAAAAAACCAAACTGAACAAAAAAATAGCATCAGTGAGGACAGGGGTGGGGGTGGGGTGTCAGGGCCGCTGTGGCACCTCCTTCTCGTTCCTGGTGTCCAGCAGCACCACAGGGCTCTTGCCTGCACTGCCTGATGAACAGGCCCCAGCAGAACTCTTCTGCCTTGGGATGCTCTGTCTTCCTTTCCCTCCCCTTTCAGTGGGAGCATCATTCTGGAGTGCACCAGGTGAGGTGACGGCATTGTGCACATGTGGGGGGTCAGGGTCAAGGAAAGGCGAGATCCTGCCATGCTTTAGGGCCGTAGCTGCATATCCCAATACCTAGAGGGTACCAGAGACGAAAGAGACCTTGCAGGCCAAGTACCTCCAAGTAGAGGCAGGCTGAGTCCCCGTAAGTCCCTAAATGTCACGGTGTTGGGAAGAGGCTGAAGCAGGAGGCACGGAGGCTCCTATCTCATGGTACCTGGCCACTGAGGGTGAAAACCACTGGCTGCTCAGCAGCAACCCTGCCTTTCAGCAGTTCCGGAGGGTTCTGTACGGCTGACCAGTCTAGGCTTTGCAGCTCCAAGGCAAACCACGGCACTGAAGAGGCATGGTTCCCACAGACTCCACACCCCACCCATCCTGCTCTCCAGGCAGGGCCCAGGGCTTGACGGAGCCCACTGGGGGATGGCACAGGCAGAGGACACCCAGGCCTTGGAAGACTGGCTCTGCCAAAGCTGAGGGCCTCACAGCAGCAACAAGCTTATCATATGACCCAGCAAGAAGGTGCTTCAGTCAGCGTTGTCTCGCTGTGACCAAAACATCCAACAGAACAACTTGAAGAAGTCTATTTTAGTTCACAACTCAGGGGTCTCAGCCCATGGTCAGCCAAGTGCATTGCTCTGGGCCCAAGGTGAAGCACAGCATCATGGCGGAAAGACGTGGTGGAGAAAAGCTGCTCACATATGGCAGCAGGAAGTAGGGGTTAGAAGGAAGGGGCCACAGAGCAGGGGCTCCCTTCCAGGGCACACCCACAGGGACCCACCTCCTCTGGCCACACCCTACCTGCCTACAGTGACCGGCCAGTGAGTTCATTCAAACTAGGATGCACAGTAAGGTTACAGCTCTCCTGACCTGTCCCATCGCCTCTGAATCTTCCTGCCTTCACACAGGAGCTCTTGGGGGACACAGGGCGTGGCACCAGGAAGGCTGCTGAAAGGGGGTACACCCAGCCCGGGATGCGGAGCACACCTGTGCAGAGGCCCCGAGAGCCCAAGAAACCATTAGATCTAAGCGTCAGTTTGGCCACACACCTGGGACTGTAGGAACCAGACTGCACAAAATGCCCAGGAATACCTGAAGCCAACCACCAAGGAAATCCAGCCCAGGAATGAAAACCAGGATGCAGAGCACAAAGGGAAACCGATCCAAACTTTGCCTTTAAGAACTTAGTGCCAGGTGCAGCAGCTTGGGAGGTTGAGGCAGGAGGATCTCAAGTTCAAAGCCAGCCTCGGCAAAAGCAAGGTGCTAAGCAACTCAGTGAGACTCTGACTCCAAATAAAATATAAAATAGGGCTGGGGATGTGGCTCAGTGGCGGAGTGCTTGCCTAGCATGTGTGAGGCATTGGTTCAATCCTCAGCACCACGTAAAAAATAAATTAATAAATAAAGATATTGTGTGTCCCTCTACAACTAAAAAATAAAAAAATAAATAAAATAGGGTTGGGGATGTGGCTCAGTGGTTGAGTACCCATGAATTCAATCCCCAGTACCCCCCCCCACAAAAAATTACAATAGGAAGTGATTTTCCTATTTGAATTCTGTATCTATCCAAATGACCCTAAGGTCAGAATGGAGAAAGGGGCGTTTCTGGACACGTGTGTCCCCAAAAGTTAGTGGATAAGGGCTGGAGATGCCAGAGGGAAAGCCAGGAAGAGGAGGACCTGGGCTCAGGGCAGCAGCACAAGGAACACAGGAGGAGTGGGGTCCCGGGGGCAGCACAGAGGAGGCACAGCTGGGCCCCCGCGGGAGGGGATCCTTTCCACACTGAAGCCTGAGATGGCAGGCAGCCAGGACAGGTGTCCCCCAGGAGGAAATCAGAGCTCAGAGTTCTGCAACTGTGACAGGACCGGACGTAGGACTTTCCTCTCCAATTTGGGGAAGAATGAGCCATCAGTATTGAACAAACCAGCAAGCAAGGAAACTGCTGCATTCAGGGAAATCAAGACGCTACTCAATAATAAAAATGAAAACCACAAAGAAAAAAAGCCATGCAAGAAGTAAAATGTAATTATAGCACAGTGCATGACACAGCCAAAAACAGAACTTCCACAGCCACCCAAAAATGTGACCCTTGGGTACTGATTCCACCACAGCCATGAGTAATACTATATTAGATTAGCACCCCTCCTGGGACTGGCACACACACACAAACATGCCTGGGATGGCATCAACCATCTTTGGAAAGATACCCAAGGGATGGGCAACCTCAGCTCTCCATGGGGAGGTGGCTGGGGGCTGGGGCAGAGGAGAGAAATTCTAAAAAGTCAGACTGTTTTATTATGTGTACACGCTGCATTAAAAAAAAAAATGACACAGAAATCTCATCAGGCTTTGGCCAAATTCAGACATGTGAACCAGGGAGGAGAAGAGGACGATGGAGTCAGCCACGGTGTCTAGACAGGAACCACCTGGTAGCTGCACCGCTCACTCAGGGCAGTGCGGCTGGTGGCCCCAGGACCCTCTGCCAACTCACAGCAGTCCCTGGCCCTCGGTCTTGCCACGCTGGGCTGCTCTGCTGGGAAAAGGCTCCTAAGTAGTTGCTGAGCTCTGGAATCTCTAAAAGCAATGAGAAGGGGCAGGGGGGTAATGTACGATGTCACCTATATGCTTCCAGAGAGGGAAGGAAAGGTGGATCCCAGGGGCCGTGGGAGGGAAGAATGGGGAGCTCGTGTGCAAGGGGGACAGGGTTTCAGTTTGAGAAGGTAGAAAAGTTCTGTGGTTGGCTGGCGGCACATCAGTGTGGATGGGGGTGACTTACGCGGTCAAAAAGGGGTGGAATGTTCTGGGTCGTTCACCATGATAAAAAACAAAAAATAAAAGTGATGTAATAAAAAAGCACAAAGACCCACTGAGAAGCTTCCTGCTTCTGGAACAGGGCTGATGAGAGATGCTGGAGAAGCCAGGGCAAGGGCTTTGGGCCAAGGATCTCGGGGGTGTGAAGTGAGTCGGTGACCATCGGGCCTCTGCGGCCACCTGCCTGCCAGTGGTTTGGCTCAGTTCTCATTTTCTAGCCTTCTGCTGATTGCTCATGTACAATCCCACTTTCATGGCCACCAAAAGCATCAAGATGAAGACCTGTCACGACGCACCAATCAGTCACAAAGGCCAAGCGCAGGAGGGCTTAGCACAGCACTGGGAGTCTCATGCAGCCAAGAGCCTGCTCGGACACAGGGGACCCCAAGGGAATCAGGATTCAGGGGGCCCAAACTACCCACTTGACATCTTAACAAAGAAAACTGAGAAAGTATAATTCTTTAGCACTGGGACTGCAGCAGACCCCCGGCCAAACAGAAAGCAAACCCTCCCCCTCACCACATGTCCCCCAGCAGCCAGATCTGCCCATTCCTAGAACCTTGGTTCCTGTTTGCACTTGAGAGACTGAGGTATCCCCGGGCTTGCTGTCTGATGGCCTCTGCCTTTCTAGAATGCTGACCCTGGCAAGGGGCCTTTCCATCTAAGCTAGAGGCCTTCTGTGTGCTATCCTAGAGTTCAGGGCTAATTATTCCACAAACTACACCCTCCCCTGGAGACTCCAGGAAGGGGTCTGGGCCAAACAGCATCCGGGGCCTGGCTGAATGGCCACCCTACCGCCCAGCTGGCACTGGATGCAGATGAGGAGGGTAACGGGCCAGAGAACCCAGGAGGAAGCTCAGCCCAGTGACTCAGGCAAAGGAGGCTGGTAACGGGGAGTTTGCAGCTGGAGTTCACATGGACCAGGACTGGACAGGAGAGAACGGGGTGGGCTTTCAGCCTTAATCACCAAGCCATCCATTATAATGCAGTACCCGACCCCGGAAGATGACTCCTGGCTCCGTCACCACCAGACATCCACGATCAACAGGGAAAAGACAAAAAAAGATAAAAGGTAAATTATTAGCATAAAGTAGACTCAGCTCAGGGGGCACTTGGCAGGAAACAGCGCATTAGTTACTTCCTCCAATGGATGTGCCCTTGACCTTGGCATTTGGAACATAACTTACTGCTTTCCCTTTTTAATTTTATTTGCATTATTCTATATTTGCTTCTGTTTCACAATCACAAAATACAGAGGCATAAGGGCAGCCATTAAAGTATTTTGAAAACTTTTAATAATCTAGGGAAATGTTTATGTTAACGAGTGTAATGAATATGACATTATAAGATTATGTTAATAACAACATGAATGAAAGAGGCTATATAAAATCATCTATATAATAGAAGACTAACTTATTTCAAGAACATTAAACTTACATATGCTTGAAAAGACTTTTTTGGGGGTTTGTAAGATTATGGATATATATATATATATATATATATATAATGCCCTATATATATATTTTTCCTGGTGATTGCTTTAAAAATTTTTTTTTACATCACCCTATTTTTTTATTGG